CCTGCTGAATGTTAGACTTTGAGCTGCTAATGCTTCAGTGCTATGCATACACCAAAGATGTTAGTTTTTAAGGAAGGGGCCAGTAATGCTAGATCACACTGCCATAATCAAATACTAACCTTTGGTTTTTGAAACCTACATAAGTCCAGTTGTTTTTTCCAAAGCGGTATTTAACTTTGGGGATGTTTTTTGTTTGTTTTTAGGGGTCTGTTCATAATTGATGAGAAGGGGATCTTGAGGCAGATAACTATCAATGATCTTCCTGTTGGCCGTTCTGTTGATGAAACCCTCAGACTTGTGCAGGCCTTCCAGTTCACAGATAAACATGGAGAAGGTAAGAGTTCCCCTTTTAAAATCAAATGTTTTCTCTGAAGAACAGTATTAACTAGGCAGGTTAAATAAAGGTTTTACTGAAAGGTATTAAGTACATGTATCAATCTGCACAGCCAGTAATTTTGCCTCTGGAAATGCAGCCGGTTCTGTGAAGCTGCTTGCTGAAGGACACCATAGAGCTTTATCCCATTCCAGTTAATTGTCCACTGTGGACTTGCTAATGTTGAGATACCATTTAAATCACTGATGGCTGTATCGTCCAGCACATAGCAGTTGTCTCTCTTTCAGTTAGACATAGAAAATGTTTGAGGCAGAAATGAAGATCATGTAATAATTTAGCCTGCAGGGATAACCATGATTTAGATTCCACTCCTGGATTTGGTAGGTTGAGCTAATCAGTACTAAAGCAGTGCTTTATGTGCACTCTTAGAGCATTCAAACTCCCGGCAAGTCTGCTTGTCAATGCGTAGAAAGAAGAAAATGGGTGGGAGTCTCTATGCCCCGAGTTTGAGTGATAAGGTGTTTGAGGCTGGCAGCTTTTCTGCAGGAACTGGAGGGGGGAAAAAAGAGGCACTGCAGATGGAAAGTTTGAACCAGGTTATGTAAATTCAGAGTTGCTGTGTAGGTGTTAGTGCTGTCATCAGCTGTCAGTAGCTAATGACATGTGCTGCTACTGGTAATACTTTACGTGCTTCAGAATGAGTAAATCACTGGCAGGTTTTAATCGAACAAGATGCTCTTGTGGCACTGGTATAGCCTGAAGAGAGTCTGTTTCTGAGCTTGAATGTCATGTGAGGAGAAATCCCTAACATTTGATGATGGAGCAGTCACATGTCATGCAAGTGAAGCCTTTTGGGGTTTACTGTGCCTTGGAGTAGTTAAAAGCTGGCAAAAGCTTTTACTTTAGAACTTTAGGGCTGCAGTCACATCTAAACCAGGATAAACTGGAGTCAGGTGTGTAGCAACACTCAGAAGCTGAGAATACTGTAGCTAAAATTGGCAGGCTTGTGTGGAGCAAGCATCAAGCATTGCATGGCTGTAAACAAGGAATAATCTCCAAAAGTGCTGCTCAGGAGGTGCAGCAGATTTGAGACCATGCAACCTCTGCATCTTGGTGGCTTTTTGATAGCCATATAGGGGAACTAGGAATAGTTTCATGCCTTCTGAATTTTTCCCTCTCTGCATTAAACTGGAGGATGGGACCAGGTTTGGTTAAAGATAAGGGGAATATAGACTTAACTGGATCCAAGGAGACAAGTGTACCATAATGATGTTACAGCCTTTCTGACCCAGGCTGCTGGAGCTGGTGCTACCTTACTGTCAAGCTTCTCTGAAGTTTTGATGTGGTGGGGAAGGGTGCATGTGTAAAGGGCCTCTGTTCTGTGGGCAGACACCTGTTTGCTTGGGTGTTACTGCCCAGGGAACAAATAGAAATGAGTAAAGGAGCATAATGTGTTACTGAAAGTGTATTGTGTGTTGCAAAGACGTGTACATGTTCTGAGTTGCTACTTTGCATTAATATTGTGTAAAACGTGTTCTGCAGGAGCAGTGGGTAAGACTTAAACATTCTTATCGTTTCAGTGTGCCCAGCTGGCTGGAAGCCTGGGAGTGACACAATCAAGCCTGATGTTCAGAAAAGCAAAGAGTATTTCGCCAAGCAGAAATAAGCCTTCAGTCTGAGTGGAAACTAGAATGCCTTACGTAAAGAGCAAGCATCAGTTACTGAAATTTGACTAAGTAGTTTTCATCTGAGTCAAGGGATCATGTTATAGTTATAAGCAGTAACTTTTTTACTTGAAGGAAAGTTTGTTCTGTTGACAGTATCTTCATAGGAAACCTTAATGATCAGTATCTGTACATCAAACCCTGTTGACCTTAGTTGACAATGCCGTGTATGTGGTTAGCCATGTGTTACATAGAGCAGTGATATCCTTTTGTAACTCTATTAAACATCTGAAAAGAGCACACTGTCTTCTGTTTTTGTGTGAGTAGTCGTTAAGAGACCTGAAAACAATGCAGGCTGCACTTGTGAGAGCTCTCCCTGCTGAGCTTTCTGTGGACATCTCGAGTCCTAAAGGCCTGTTGCTACAGCTCCACTAGAATGGAGATGCAGGGGGTTAGTTTTCATGTTGCAGCAGTATTCTTCACACTCTTCATGACTTTGCCATTAGGTAGAGGAGCATGGTTTGATCTTTGTCAGTCTTGGGCAATACTACAGTGCCCAGAGCATGAAACATATGTGACTGACAAGGGTGGTGCACATTTTTGTGCAGCATGTCAGCTTAACTCATTTCTGCATCTACTTTAGGCAAAACTTGACTTTATGCTAAATTTCTGGGCATCAAACATTCAGTTTGAATGCTGTCTGGAGCAGAAGACTGGGCTTTCTGGAAAGCAAATTTCCTTGGATAAGCAACATTCATTCCTAGTCTTTCCCACTACATGGAATGGGGGTGATAATATGCCAGTTATGCCTTACCTTGTAGTCATATGTTCAGGATCAAAAGGGTGGCACTGTAAAATCTGGTATTCAGGTGTGCTCAGCCTTGGTTTTAATCTTTGTATTCCAAGTAGTTATGTAAAACTCAAAGCACATGACTGTGGCCTTAAGTTACGCTAAAGCTTTATCTGCTGTGTAGTTTCATGGTTAAAGGTGCCTTGTGATAAAGTCCTGAGCTTCAGAGCTGAGAATTTTGGTTATGACCTATTGCCTAGCAATGTAAGTGAGTTAGAGCCTTGGGATTTTTATGTACCTGTGAAGATTCAACTCCTAAAGGCTGAGACCTTGCATCTACCTTCAGCTTCTCAAGTAGAAAAACAAGTTCTGTCCTGCCTAAAGTGAACAATAGCAAAGTTAAGGCCCAGGGCTACTTAAGTGACTCAGAAGTGAAAGTTGAATGCCTTGAGCAGTAAACTTAGCTTTGTACAGCTCTGAAAAACAGACTGGCTGCAGAAGTCTGACTACCAGATACTGCAATAACTACTGAAATAGGTAATCCCAAGTCTTCCTTATGTGCCACAAATCCTCACAAAGGTACACAGAAGTGATGTTTGGCTGGATCATTTTTGCTTAATATTTAAAAACTGGAGCCTTGAGAGTACAAGTGAGGTTAACATCCCAGGTGGCATTGATAAGTAGCAGGAGCATATATAGATCTATACACACAGAGGATATGGTTCAAGGAAAATGAATACTAACTAGTATGGCTAAGTGTGAAGTTCTTTATCAAACTTTCTTTGCTAGTAAATGATAAGGAGTAAAGTTAGGGCTAAGCTAATGTAAAACTTACCTTAGTTGTGCCTAGCTGTCTTAGCCTTGAAATGTTATAAAACTGATGAGAGCAGTTACTTGGAGGGTACAGCATCAGTGTGGTCTAGTCCTGGGGAATGTGGACTTGTTAAACCTGGGGCCATTACATGATAGAACTGCTTATGCTGGAAGATCATCAAGTCCAGATGTTAGCACAGCACAGCCATGTTCACCACTAAACTATGTTCCTAAGTACCACATTTACGTGTGTTTTTAATCCACTCAGGGATTGTGATGCAGCCACTGCTTCCCTGGGCAGCTTGTTTTGATGCTTGACCACCCTTTCACTGAAGAAATTTTTCCTATTTTATCTACACCTCCTCTGGTGTAACTTAGTGTTATTTTTTTCTTGTCCTATTGCTTGTTACTCTGGAGATGAGACTAAACCCCACCTGGCTGCAGCCTTCTCTCAGGTAGTTGTAGAGAGTGGTAAGTTCCCCCCGAGCCTTCTTTTCTCCAAGCTGAACACCCTCAGCTGCTCCTTGTGCTTCCCCAGCAATGTTGCCCTACTCTGGACACACTCTAGCACCTCAGTGTCTGTTCTGCCATGAGGGACCCAAAACTGGACACAGCACTAGATGTCCTATTAACTCCCAACAGTGTGGCAAGTAAGCCTGTTCTGTGCCCAGACTGAGGGCCTGAACATTAATGAGCAAGTTCACCCCATCACCGTGATATAAATAGCTTTTCTCAAATCCTTAAGTATTCAGTGCATATGTTCAAAAATGTGTTTAAAAGGAACATACTTAGCTATTCTGTCATCTCCCCTTGTCATAGGGGATAAAGAGGCTTTCACACGTTCTGGCCTTGGACCTCTCTCCCAAAAGCCAGAGGGAGTCTTATGTGCCTATCCTGGTCCCTGGGAGGAAGATGAGGGGCTGAGAGCAGTGAAAGCTCTGGCCCCTGCAGCTGCTGCTCCTCACCTCTGGAGATGCAGGTGTAGGAGCATCCCGTAAAAGCACCCATTGTGTCCATCCTGCTCCTGTGATGTAAGGTGTTCCCCTTTGGTGTGCCATGATTTCCCATGCTTGCTGGTCAGCTGTGTCACTCCTGCTCTGAGCAAGACCTCATCCCATCCCACAACATGGTGTTTATACCTCCCACCTTTCAAACATCCCAATATTGACCCTCACAGTCACCTTTTAACTTTCCTGTTTTGAAAAGAGGTTAATCTTGATGACTAAGTAGCTATTAATTTAGGAAAAATATTCTGTAACTGAGAAAAATGTTTTGGTTATAATTAATTGTTCTGCTGCTGCCTGCCTGGAGCTGGTACCCTGAGGCACTGGATGTACTTAAAGCTGGGAGTGATGGTGCTGTGGAAATTTGAACAGCCAAGAAACAAAATACATGTGTGTTAGGAACTGTATTGCATGTTTGCACCAACTTATTAACTGTGGGAATTAATGCAATTTTTATTCTTCAGCCACATGACACACGTGCAGGAAAGTTTGTTGCCCTTCTAATGTTTACATTCCTTGCATTTCCAAGAGCATAACGCAAAAAACGGGCAACACCAAAACTTCTTCGGATCAAGCAGAGTTTATTTCTTTGCTTAAAGTCTGTTGATTCAGATACAGTTTGGAATTTCCAGTAAGTGTTCTGGGGCTTACCCCCCACCCCTTGTATCGTGGCATCTCCAACTGGTGTCATTAATATGATATTCAAATAGCCATAGTCCTCATTTATTGAGGTTTTTTTTCATGCACCGAGATGCAGATTGTACTTTAGTTACAATTATGAACTGGTTTTGCTCTTGCAATCAAGAGGTGCCATATCTCCCAGGGAGGTAAAATCCCATCAGCAGTTCTTGGGTTTGGTGGCAGGACTGGGAGTCGTTGCAGCATCATGTACTGCTTAATGGGATTTTTCCTGAAGGTGCATCCAGCAGTTCCTGTTTAGAAAGCCCAGCATCTCAGAATCTTGAATGAGATCGGGTGTTTTTTGGTTGGGTTTTTTTTGTGTTTTTTTTTTTAAATGTGTGAGTGATTGCACATTTTTTTGTTCTGATTTGGGTACTTAGTATAAATACAAATTTATTCATTCATTTCTTTAGGATATCTTACTCAGAATAGTCAGGTTAAGGGAAACTGAAATATATCTCACCGTGTCTCTTTCCTGCATCTCTTTATTTGTAGCTGATTGGTGTAATTCCTGGGGATTTATGTGACCACTCCTCAGGGGCACAGCGGAGGGAAAACAAAATGAAAGGCTTGAGGGTAGAGATAACGACAGGGAGAGATCACTCACCAGTTACTGTCTCAGGCAAGACAGACTTGGGAAATTGGCTTCATTTATTACCAATCAAATCAGAGCAGGATAATGGGAAATAATGAAGCTGCAGGGGAATCTCTGCTCTGGCACCTGGAGCACCTTCCCCCCTCCATCTTCACTGACCTTAGTGTCTGCACAGCTATTTCTCTCACACATTCTCACTTCTCTCTCCAGCTGCAGATTATGGCACATTTTTTCCCTTCCTTCTTAACCACGTTATCCCAGAGGCACTACCACTGTCTCTGCTGGGCTCAGCCCTGGCAGTGGCAGGTCCATTTTGGAGCCAGGTGGCATTGGCTCTGTCAGAAACAGTGGGAGCTTCTAGCAGCTTGTCCCAGGAGCCATCCCTGCAGCCTCCCCTGCCACCAAACCTCACCACACAACCCAATACCTACACTTTGTGCTTTCCACATATTATCTAAAATGAAGAATATTTACTCCCTCATTTTTTGTGATAGGTATCTGTAATTAAGTTTTCAGATAACAGCATTTCTGTGAGAGCAAAAGGATATTTTTGGCACCTATAATACAGATTTAAATCCTATATCTTATATATTTATCATGGAATACATAGAATGTGACTTTCAATATCTGACATCCAGAACCTAACCTTTACTTTTATGAATTTGTTATTTCAAAATTAACAATTGCATAATTAATTTTAGATACTTATAAGGAAAAAAATTTAAAGAATTAGCACTTTGTTACAAAATGAGTTTCTCACTGGTTTTGAAAAACAGTCTGAAAAAGGATCCATCTTTTAAAGTACTATTTTCTCAACAAGTGCTCCAGCCTTTTTATCAGGCCTTTGATGATTAGGTGATTGGCTTGTCCTACAAATCAATACAGTTCAAAGAACAGCAGCAAGTAGTTTGCATCTCACAGGTATTGCAAAATGATGCACTTTGGTTAGGGAAGTCTGTTTGCAAAAGCTCCATGACTGTACTTTTGAGTGATGTTATACATCAGAACAAGAGTCATGTAAAGATTATGTTAAAGGGGTTAATCATATTAAGTTTAAAAATTACTTATCCTCTGACATTTTCAGTGGGTCTGGTGTTCAGTATTATATGATAGTCTGTGTAAATAATATATTCTGAAGTAACTTGCTGGACAGATCATAGAATCATAGGATTGTAGGAATGGACCTTACAAATCATCTAGTCCCAACCCACTGCCCTGAGCAGGGACACCTACTCACCAGATCAGGTTGCTCAAGGCCTTAGCCAACCTGACCTTGAACATTGCCAGGGTTGGGGCAACCACAACCTCCCTGGGCAACCTGTGCCAGTGTCTCACCACCCTCACAGGAAAAAACTTTTTTCTCACATTTAACCAAGACTTTCCCTCCTTCAGTTTGAACCCATTACCCCTTGTCC